TCATATTCCAAGGAATATCTTTTTCCATCACTCCACTTTCAGTCTGTTTGTGTCTATTCAGGTGAATTGAATTCTTATAGGCAGCATATAGTTATGTCTGTTTATTTTTTTAAATCTGTTTGGCCAGTTTATGTCTTTTAATTGGGAAATCAATTTACATCAAAATTATTAATAGGGGAAAACTTACTCCAGTCATTTTATTGTTTTCTGGTTGTTTTGTATATCCTTTTAAAATTTCCACCTCTATTATTGTTTATAATTGTGGTTTGGTTGTTTTTGTGTCACAATAAGCTTTGATTTTTTTTTTTTCTTTCTGTATCTACTTTACAGGTGAGTTTTAGAATTTTTTTTTGTGTTTTCATGATGATTGTTATTGCTTTTTTAGTTCCAAATGTAGGGCTATCTTAAATGATTCTTGTAAGATTGGTCCAGTATGATAAATTCCCTTAGTTTTTGCCTGTCTGGGAAAGACTTCTTCATTTCTGAAGAATAGATTTGCTGGGTACAGTGTTTTTGGTTGGCAGATTTATTTTATTCCAGCACTTTGGCTGTATTATTCCCTTCTTTTTTGACTTGTAAGGTTTCTGATGAGCAATCTGCACTAGTCTAATGGAGATTCTTTTACATGTGACTTGACATTTTTATCTTGCCATTTTTAGAATTCTTTGACTTTTGAAAATTTGACTATAACATGCCTCAGAGAGGATCTGTCTGAGTTGAAGGTATTTGGGGATTTTTGTTGTTTCTGGAACAGATGTCCATCTCTAGCTTTCCTAGAGTTGGCTAGTTTTCAGCTATTATTTCATTATTTATGTTTTCTATATATTTTCCTGTCTATTCTCCTTCTGAGACTCATACAATGTAAATATTTGTTTATTTGAGCCCCATAAATCCTATATGCTTTCTTCTACTTTTATTTTTTTATTTTTTTGAAATGGAGTCTTGCTCTGTGGCCCAGGCTGGAGTGCAGTGGCATGATCTTGGCTCACTGCAACCTCTGCCTCCTAGGTTAAAGCAATTCTCCTGCCTTAGCCTCCTGAATAGCTGTGATTATAGGTGCTCATCACCATGCCTGGCTAATTTTTGTGTGTTTAGTAGAGACGGGGTTTTACTATGTTCCCAGACTGGTCTTGAACACCTGATCTCAGCCTCGGCCTCCCAAAGTGCTGGGATTACAGGCATGAGCCATCATGCCCAGCCAAAACTTTCTTCATTCTTTTAAGTTCTTTTTTTTTTTTTTCTTTTTCATCTACCTGTGTTATTTCAAAAGTTCTGCCTTCCAGGTCAGGAATTCTTTCTCTTGCTTAGTCTAGTATTTTATGCAAAATCCAGACATTTTTATTTATTCATTAAGTTCTTCTGCACTAAGATTTCTGTTTGGTTCTTTCTTATGGTATTTATCCCTGTTGAGTTTCTCATTTAGATCATGAATTTTTTCCTGATTCATTGAATTGTCTGTCTTTATGCTCTTATTTTTTACTGCATGTCTTTAAGATTATTATTTTGATTTCCTTTTGTAGCATTTTGTGAATTTCCTTTTATTTGCGATCTGTTACTGGAGAATTATTTTGTTTCCTTGGTAGTGTCATGTTTCCTTGCTTTTTCATGTCATCTCAAGAGTGGTACTCATTTGCAACTAGGTTTTTCTTTATTACATTTTCAGTTTCAAATTTCTACTACACATGGCATAAATTTGAACATTACATTGCACATTTTTTGAGCTTGGTGCTTCAATTTCTCATGATAAGTGTTTTTTATACCCAGATTCCTAAGAAAAGATAAATGTTTTTGCTCTTCTTTTGGCCAGTGGAAGGAGGCTGTCTGTTGCTTCTTGCTCAGATGGGCTGTTCCTTCCCAAATCAAAGTTATATTGGTTCTCAGTTCCCATCTCATCTTATGGCTCCCCCATGACATCATAATCTCAGCCACTGACTAAGCAGTCCTACATATTAGTACTGTATCTCTCACAGACACTCTCTCTGGCTATGACTTCCCTCTCACTTTTGCCTGGGAGCTTTCTTTCTATTTAAAAAACTGCTATAGGCCAGGTATGGTGGCTGACACCTGTAATTTCAGCACTTTGGGAGGCTGAGGTGGGCAGATCACTTAAGGTACAGAGTTTGAGACTGGCCTGGCCAACATAGTGAAACACCATCTCTATTAAAAATTCAAAAATTAACTGGGTGTGGTGGCATGTGCCTGTAGTCTTAGCTACTCAGGAGGCTGAGGCAGGAAAATTGCTTAAAACTTGTAGGCAGAGTTTGCATTGAGCCGAGATTGCGCCACTGTACTCCAACCTGGGTGACAGAATGAGACACCATCTCAAAGAAAAAAAAAGGGAACTGCTATATATATTTAAAAATTATTATAGTTTACCTAGCACTTCTGAGTATTTGTAGCAGAGAGAAAATCCATTTGAATTCAGTTAGTTATACTTCTGAAACCCTAAGTGCCAGACTGATCTTTGAAAAGTATACAGTTGACCTTTGAACAATACAGGGGTTGGGGGCCCTAACCCACCACACAGTCAAAACTTCACATATAAATTCTGACTCCCTTCAAATTTAACTACTAATAGCCTACTCTGGACTGGAAGATAACGTAAACAGTTAACACACATTTTTGTATGTTATATCTTTTTTATACTGTATTCTTACAATAAAGTAAGCTAGAGCAAAGAAAAAAAAATTTAAGACGGAATCTCTCTCTGTCACCCAGGCTGAGGTGCAGTGGCGCGATCTTGGCTCACTACAACCTCTGCCTCCTGGGTTCAAGCAATTCTTCTGCCTCACCCTCCCAAGTATCTGTGACTACAGATATGTGCCACCATGCCTGGCTAATTTTTGTATTTTTAGTAGAGACAGCATTTCACCATATTGGTCAGGCTGGTCTCAAACTCCTGACCTCATGATCTGCCCACCTCAGCCTCCCAAAGTGTGCTGGGATTACAGGCATGAGCTACCACACCCGGCAAAGAAAATGTTATTAAGAAAATTAGGAAGAAGAGAAAATACATTTACTATTGAGTGGGAGCGGATATCATAAAGGTCTCTTCCTTGTCATCTTCATGTTGAGTCAGTTGAGGAGGAGTAAAAAAAGGAGGGATTGGTCTTGCTGTCACAAGAGAGAATGAATAGCTGTATACAGTGGACCCATGCAGCTCAAACTCGTGTTGGTCATGGGTCAGCTGTAAATCACATCAGTCACTCTAGTATTTAAAAGAGCTTCTCATCACACTTAGAATCAAATGTAATCTTTTTTTGTCTATAGAGTCTTTGTCAATTAGGTACTGCCTATCTTTCCAATCTCATCTCATATAACTTTTCCTCTGTTTTTTTTTTTTTTTCACTATGCTTTAAAGATGCTAGATTTCTTTCTCATTTCCTGCCTTCTTCAACTAGAGTGTATGTTTCATGGAGAAAGCAACTTTGTCTTGGTTACTTGGTTACTGGTTACCATGGTGGTTACTTGCTCTATCCTAGACATCTAGCACAGTGCCTGATATGTAATAGGAAGTGAAAAAATGTGTTAAATAAACAAAGATAGAAGCAACGCTCAACATCTTCTAGTTCAACTTTATCTTTTTGCAAACAGTGAAATGAGCTCAGGAAGGTTTAAGACTTTGACCAATATTAAAAACAAAACAAAACAAAACAAAATCTTTAATGAGATAGCCAAAACATGTACTCGGGTCTCTTGACTCTCCTCTCCTATATTCTGCCTGGTGACCACTCTGCTGGTTATAAGAAGTCTGTATCAGGGATTCTGAAAGATAATAAATAGACTATAGGGCAACACATGTCCTCCTTCCCACTTACATGATGAATTTTGTGAAGTATATGCATATACAAATTTTTCTGGGGAGGAAGTCTGTGGCTTTCATCCAATTTTGAAAGTATTAAAACATCAAAAACCTTAAGAACTTCTGGCCCACATATTGTTTGTGAAATAAGTTACTTGTATGCTTCCCTTGTCTTCATATCAGTTCTTCTATTAACAAGAATAGAACAATTATTATGAACTAAATATTCACCATATTGCTAAAGGTCCCAGTGTTTATGACTTGTATTATTAAAATATTGTCACTTATGGGTGAAGAGTTGGGTTCTGGAACTATACAATCACCTGGCACATAAATTTAGGGGTACTCTGCCAACTTTATCAAAACTGACAACATGAATGTTCACACAGTGGCTGTAGCTACATTTGACCAGATATTTCCCTAGCCAGATTTTCAGGTACTCATTTCCCTAAAATACTAAAATACTAGATTGTGAATATCCATAGGGCCAATCCATAATTTCTTTCTCAGGTAAATTTTGTCTGTACTAAACCTGCTATGTGTACAGACTGGCCAGGGGGATGGGGAAAAGGAACTAATACTGCCTTTGCAATAGACTCTGGTGCCACTTCATCCCAGGCCATGGACCCTCCTACTTTCCCTGAGCACAGTCCTTCATTCAGAGTCACCCTGATCCTTGGTCGTTAATAGTTAGAATGGAATGGCAAAAGCTAAGCCCATCACATACTTTTAAAATTAGGATTGAAATTTAGAGACAGTCAGTTAAAGCTTTGATATGCCTATGACTCTACGTATAAATTTTGAATTACAGGAAGATGTATCTTGCCATATAAATGGAAAAGCAAAGAAAGTCCATCTGAAAAAAGGGAAGGATGAAGATGACTTTGATAGTCCTAAATTTTTTTTTTTTAATTTCCTTGGTTCCTGACAAATTTCCTTACTCTATTTTCCACATAGATTGAGTAGATTTCTTTACAACCAAAGCTTAACTGATGCAAAATTGCATTTCCTGTGGATGGATATTTTTGTGTTTCTTTAGTTTGTTTTATTTCCTTTATTAGTATATTTCAAAGTATAATGCCTACAAGTGCTGGAGTGAAATAAACCAGGTTTGGATGTTGATTAGATCACTTACTAGCTGAATGGAATAGTTTGGACATACTTAGAGTAAAAACATTATTCGTTCTCCTATTGGAAATTCATATTTAACTTGGTATGTTTATTTCATCTGGCAACACAATTTGTGACATATTCTCTTGCTTTGTAAAACAGAAGCAATAATACCAAATTGGCAAAGATATTGTTAAAAATGTAAAGGATATATAAATGTTATATGAAACAATTTATGAGGAATGGTTAATTATTTTCTTTCTTTCCCCCCATCCCCACTGTCCTCCTACCTGTGTTGTATTGATAATGCAAGGAGCTTGCTTACAAAGTTCATTATTATAAGACAGCCGATTAAGAACAGATACATCCTAGATGTGCTGAACTTTTGTTTACAATGTTAACAGAGCAACCTCTAGGTGAAATGACTTAATTGTAAGTTTTATAAAGCAGTGGATTGGTTGGCTTTGGAACATGAAATGGGGAAATGTTTCAGACCTTTTATGCAATGATGTCTCTATTCTTGAATCAAAGAATTTGGAAATGCTTTACTCTATCTTATTTTACTTAGGCACCAGATCCCAGGATACGCTAACATTCATTTTTTATGAAATCTCTACTGTGTTTCAGGCATATGCCTATAAGACTTCCAGGGGAAGTCTTACAGTCAAATTGTTTTCCAATTCCAATCACATCTCCTAATCTCACCTCCTGTAAAAATGAAATTAAATAAAAATACAATGAAATAACAAAAAGTATGATAGGGAGGGAAAGAGGGAAATATATACATTTACTATTTGCCTGTTCTGGGATTAAAAAATGTAAGATTCTTGATTGGGGTTGGGTGGCTGTTTACTTCTTCTTTCCTATGTCTGAGTAATTCTCATTTTCATCTTGATTACTTGTATTTCCTGACCTGGGAAATCTGGCAAGTACTGGAGGACTTCTTAAACACAGCTCAGGTTTACATGATTTCTGCTCAAAGGCAACGGAGCAATGAACTTCCTTACAGAGGCATTTATCATATATTTCTTTATTTATCACACAAGATCCAGTAGGATTAGACTTTTGTCTCATTTGAAACAGTGTGGCCTTCATGAACCACTAAGCAATGGGCACAAAAATGGCATGCTTCCATTTTTACTTTCCTTGTTCAAAGTTACCATTTCAGAGGATGATTTGTAAGGAGCAAGTGAAGAGCACATGAAGAATATGGGCAGGTCTAGTGTGGCTCTGAGTATACAGAGGAATCCTCATCATAAACCTCCTTGTCTGAGGTTTGCCTTCCATTTTCTTTTGCATTGTCACCTAAAAGCATCTGGGATGATGTAACACTCTGTGTTCTACTCTGATCCCAAGATGTTTGCTTAGCAAAACGAGAGTTACTTCTAGACTCATAAGAATAGACTGGTAAATACAATGTCTCATCACCTGGATCAATGGTAGGAGGAAAATTTGTGTCTGAATATGTCTCTGTTGTCTGTGGTGCATTATTTACAATTTCATTTGACTTTTGCAATGAAGTCTCTTCATTCCTTTTATAACAAGCAGTGCTGAAGGGTATGGCACAAAACACAAGATCTGAGGGCAGCAACTCGAACTCATTGGCTGGCCGGATAATCACAAACCTGTAAGACAAGTCAAAGATAAACAATGAGCCTGTGCAGCCAGCCAGTGTGGTGACAGGCAGTGGCCCAAATAAAGAAGTCATCTTGCTGGGCCCAAAGAGAAAATGTTTTTGTTTTGCTTTGCTTCTTGGGTTTCTGATTAATAGTAAATATCTATTTACTACTTACTCTTGAAGCACACTGCAAGAGGAGAGGTTCTAAAGTAGAAATGCCTTGCTGCATTCATCTTTTGTTCTAGCGGGAGGAGGGAAGACTGTGGTTTGGATTGGTCGATGTCTAATGGCCCTACTCCAGGTCTGTTTGCTTTTAATAGACACTATACTCATGAATTCAACTGCCACAATATTGACCACTTAGCCAAGCTTTGTCAACAGGAAGATGACATGTATTTCAGGTATTTTCATCCTGGCTTAGAACTGCTCTAACCTAATACTTATGCCACCAACTTTCACACAGAATGTAGCCTGGCCAGTGGAGAAAAGCATTTTAAAAATGTTCTATTTGAAACTCTGACTGGCAAGCAAATAACAAATGTCAGTGAACCCTAAAGAATACCCAGAAGCCTTAACACAGCATCAGTTACATAGCAAATGCCCAATGTGAGGGCAACAGTGCTTATGTGGGAATATTGAGGCAGGGTAGCCTCGTATGACTTTTATCCTGCATTGTCTCACTAGTGCCTCAAATGATCACCTCTTTCTTAGCATAGATCTCAAGGCACCATTGAACTTCCCTCATCGAAGAACCTACCCAGTTTTACCTTTCCCACCAAGTCTTCTATAACCTCAATTCTATTCTTAAAAAAATCTCCGGAAGAAGATCACATATTCTGTTTAAAACAAAAGTAACAATTCCACCCACCCCCCATCCTGGTCCCCTCAAGTGTTAATATAAGCTATATATTCTCCCAGTTACCATGTTGCAAGGGCCGTACAGAGGTGTTTGGGGGAGGAGTGGAGTTCAGGTAGAGAGGGAGAGAGAGAGCCATTTCCAGAACATCACTCCTCCCCTATTGTCTTGGTGGTGGGTGCTATAAAGTGCCTTCTTTCCACATCCATCAGAGTCATCTATAGACCTCCACTCTTATTTTGGCCTTTGGCACTTGACATGCTCTTCCTTTCAAACTCTAGTGCAGCCATTCTTTTACATGCCTGCAGTGTCTATGTGGTTTACAACTCCAGCATTCAGACACATTGCTATGACTTCCAGTACCCAATGATCTTTACCTCCAAACCACTTTTCCGGCCATGTCCTAGATGTTATAATTCCTAAAATTCTTCCACCTTTAAAATCTTAAGTTTCAATAAATCACTGCTGACTACAGCTTCTCGTCGTACTTTCTCTCTCACTCCCTTAACTTGGAGTACATCTACTATTCAATGTCATAGGGATTTCCAATCTTTGTTCTTTCACTATGTGGTCTAGTATTTCTTCACAAATTCACAATAAGCCTCCTCTTCCACTCCTCTCAATAGCTAATCTAAATGTTGACTCCTTTCTCGACTCCTGATAATGTTTCTTTGATCATTCTCTCAGCAATGACTGCATGTGCACTGAGAAATCCTAGTGTGAGATAAAAATTCCTGTAAGCCTAGTCCTCACTTGGAGCTAGATCTGCCTTGGCATCTCTTTTTTTTCCTCCTTTTCTCCTCTGGGCCAGAAAACTTGTTGCTGTTTTTATTTTCTTTTCAAGACCACTCCACTTTGAGTAATTTGACTTCCTTCTCCTTTCTCCTGGAATGGGTCCCATCAACCTATTTCCACTCTATTCCTTTCAATTTCTTCTTCCCTACTGAATCCTGTCCATTCGACTGTGGGGATCTTAGACTGGACATACACAATTTTGTTGCCTCCAGACTGTAACTGTTCCTTTCCCTTTGCCCTCCAACTACATTTCTGTTTTCCTGGGGGCTCTCAGAGTGGTCTTTCTTTAAATTGAAAGCTGAACATATCATCCCCATGATTTATATGTAAAAAGTACCATGGCTTGAAAAGAAGATCTCAATCAATATTTACCCAATGAGTCCAGCAGAAAACAAGTACATCTTTCTAATGTGGATAGTGGCATTCAGCTTTAGAAAGCTATACAGACATGGATGAGGAGTAAGTTACAAAATTGAAATGTGGAGCTGATTTAAAATCTAGCTCCACATTTCAATTTTCATTGGGAGACAGAAGCTCCATTTTCCTTACATGGCCAATATTAACTGGACCCTAATTATTCAGGCCCCTCTTCTTTATACTCGTCCCTCCTTATTCTTACATAGTTCTTTATTTTCCATGTACCCTTCCTTGCCACTGTGGACCCTGAGCTCTGGAATTCTCTTTCACATTGTATAAAGTAGCCTTGGTTCTTATGCTGCGATGGGTGGATGGTGCTTTCCAGTCTAGCACACTCCCCTTTTGTTTTCCGGGTTGATGTCCTCTTCATCAATTACTCTGTATAACCCAACACAGAGGATTCCAAAAAGATCTAACGAGCCACAGAACAGTTGTCCAAAGTTGTTTCTTGGCTGGGGAGAGAAGAGACAAACATATGTCTGCTGAGCACTTTGATTAAGCAATTATAAGCACTCACTGGAGTGTCGTTTGCTTTTCCTGGTAGTAGAAGCTTGGTAAGCCACTTCCCAATATCTTTGTGGTGGCAGTGTCAGGTGGATAGGTAATTAAGTGTATGTTTAGTTCTGAAACTCTAATCGCAGTGACTGTTTTTACCATTCTGGCTCTTTCCAGAGCTTCTGGTGGGTGTGGTGCGAACACATTGTTGCACTTGTCCTTATTACCATTGCCGTTCTGGCAAACACTATGAATGAACAATGAGTAACAGGTTGGAAAATGCAGCTTTTGAGATATACACTGAGTTAGGATGTTAAATACAATCTTGACCTTGTTCTTGGGCTATAGCCAACAAGATCACATGAATAGATAACAGTTTCAAGCCCCTGCAGCAGCAAATAGGCTCAGCAAGATCAAAAGAGATCAATCCGTTCAGTTCTGTAATTCCTCAGGATAAAGAACAAAGGGAAGACATGGCATAAACGTAGAGAGGAGGGAGAGGAGTGGGGACAAGTCTACCGTCCTCTCTGATGCCAACAGGAAGTTGCTAGCAGCAGTTTCCTGGGCTGATATACACTCACAAGTCCACCTGTAGGTGAGGAACCCAGGACTACAGAAATGCAAAGAACCAGATTACACTGAGGGAGCTTCTGGTATGTGGTTTATACCCGGAACGCTAATGCACAGAATATGGGATTTGACCCTTTTGGCAGCACACATCGACATGCACCGGGTATAGTGTTCTACCCAGAGGGTTTGCTAATGTCCTCTGAATCAACAAAAGATGTTTCCTTGGAAAAGCCTACCCCTAGCAATGACACTGGACACCTGAATGCAATGCCAATTAAAACCAAACCAGAAGGCACCACATTGACAAGTTGATTTCTCGTTTCTTGGCTAGACTCTACTCTGATTTCCAAATGCCTGGATGCTCCATTGGAATTTTCCAGAATTATTATCTTCTCCCTGGCTGTAATCTACTGTTTACCAGCTCCCTTGGCTAAGAAAACTCAAGCATTTTCCACTCACTAGTTCAGCCAGATTCTTAGACCCAAGTACAGAAGGCTTCTGGCTGATTTCAGCTGACCTTATCAAATTTCTTTAGCATTTTAAGTATAGGGAGAGTGGGCAGGCCTGGGGTCAAATTGCTGTAGCTGGGTCCCTACTCTGACACTGATTGACAATGTGGTCCCCCGCAAGTCCTTGCCTCTCTGACTCCAGCTTCTTGATCTGCTAAATAGAATTAATAATAATGCCTAGCCTATAAATCCATGAGCAGATTAAGTGGAAAAAATACTAAAGTAGACAAGCACAGAGAAAATACTCAATAAATATTAGCTGTTATAATTATTATGAATACTCTTGTCAAGGTACAAAGTTGCAGGGCCTCTCTGATGCTCCCTGTAGATTCGGGTTATTTATCTGCAAGATGGGGATAATAACAACTGCTTTATCTATGTCCCATAATTATTGTAAAAAATAAATATAACATATGAACACACGGTGATTTGTAAAATACTCTACAAATATGAAGTTCTATTCTTTTTTTTGTTATTTTTACTGTTATTATTTCAGTGCTATGGGATATCTATGAACCCAAATAGCCTGGACAATTTTCAGAAGCACAGAGAGGTAAGGAAGTGAAAAACTGAGTTCGGAGAAGAGTAGACTCACTTGAACGTCTGATAAGATGGTTTGGTGTAAAGACAGAAGCCCCAGCTTACACCGCTTTCTTCCAGACAAGAGCGTCGTGCAGCTATCTGACAGATCGTAGACCTTATCCTTATCTAAATGTTGTTCCAGCTGAGAACTTCTTCCTCCTGTCACCAGCATCTGAAGCAATTCCAGGACATGATAATTGTAGAAGGCCTAGAAAACAAAGACAAGCCACAAGCAAAGTCAGAAGAGCCAATATGTGAACAGTGGAGAAGTCTAGGTTTGGAGTTGTAGAGGGCTGTTTAACATGGGCCTGATGGTGCAGGACAGTGTTTCTCATTATAATTATCTAATGCAACTGAAGAATTACAGTTTGGGTACTGTGCTAGGTCAGGCCAAGTGCAGAGAAAGGAACACTAACCCAGTTCTTCTTCCTTGGAGATTACACTGCAGATGAAGAAGAAACTGGATAATGATACTGACACCAGGGGTTCCCCTCTTCCCAAAATGACCAGAGGAGGTATATATGTCAGGCCACAGATACCCTAATCATCATCAATGTATATTTAAAAATATATATATTTACTGAGACTTTCTATAGATTTTCCAGTAGGGAACTGCTGATATTATTGTCATCCATACCTGAGCCTTCTGAATGTGAATTTACTTATAATCCTTTTGTTTGTGTCCTACTTAGGGACAGATATTGACTTAGGTCTTATTAGTATTTGGATTTCCCATAGCTCTTATTATACTTTAGAAATTATAGGTGTTTAATAATTAAGTAAATAAGCTTTCAGAATCTTTGGCATCCAAATGAAGCTAGAGGAAGACGTGACAAACTTCTTATTTCGAAATGAGCTTGAGTTTGAATAATCCCAGCCATTTTAATAAACCCTCTTTCTCCAGGATTGCTACCACATTCAGTGTGGGCCAGCATTAACATACACGGAAAAGCCATCGGAATGTATTACCCACTAGATTTTCTCAAATTTATTCAATATATAATATTTTTAAATTTTCCATCGTTCATTTTATTTAAATTAGACTCTGGCTTTATTAGGAATGAGAATTTCTATTTTTATGTATTGCCTAAAAGCAATCATTTTGTTTTTGTAATAAATGGCAGGAAGAACTTCAATTGTTATTGTTCTAAAATATTTACCATTTGTTTTCTCTACTTTCAAATTCAGGGATCCAGCTTCTGAAACCTGGATTATCATAAGAACCTCTTTACTTCTTGCTCTGTCTTGATTTTCTGTTCATCTGCACCCATTGTGTACAATGCTTTCCCAGCAATTCCCAAAAACACAAATCAGATCACGATCTCCATCTCCTCAACCTTTTAGTGTCCTGACATAAAACAAGGCCCTCTCTCTCCGCCATGGCCTTCAAAACCTTTGGGATCTGATGCAGTCTCCCTTGCCAGGCTTGTCTCCTCCATGACCTGTTCCCTCTGGGGCATGCTAGTCCATCTACAAGTGCTCACGTTGTTCTTTTACCGCTTCATGCATTTGCTTTTGAGCCTCTGGTTCATCAGCTTGGTGACTCTTTTCTGGGTCTTCTCAGCAGAAGGAAATTTCTCTTTCTTTGGGATTCCATGGGCACTGACTTTTACTTTATTTCATTCTTCTATATTTTACAGTTAGTTGTTCGTATGGAACACACTTGAGTTTGAATCTTGGACTGTCACATCCTAGCTGAGTGCTTTGGGCAATTCATAATTTTCTCTTTTTTTTTGAGACAGGGTCTCACTCTCTTACCCAGGTTGGGGTGCATTGGTTCAATCTTGGCTCACTGCAACCTCTGCCTCCTGGGTTTGAGCAATTCTCATGCTTCAACCTACTATGTAGCTAGGATCACAGGTGTGCACCACCACGACTGGTTAATTTTTTTGTATTTTTAGTAGAAACATGGTTTTGCCATGTTGGCCAGGCTGGTCTCTAACTCCTGCCCTCAAGTGATCCACCTGCCTCGGCCTCCCAAGGTGCTGGGATTACAGGCATGAGCCACCGTGTCTGGTTGTTTATTCAGCAACAGTTTTATAATCTTTAAAGTCAACATGGTAACACTTACCTTCCAGCATTGGTTGCAGGATTAAGTAAAATAAACTACACACATTGCTAAATTCTGTTTTCTTTATCATTGCTTCTCATGTATCTGGATCATCTGAAGTGCTATTAATGAGTGTAGATTTCTGGGATCCCAGATCTCCTGGATCAGAATATATGGACAGGAGTGGGAATTGGGATTTAAAGAGCACCCTGAGAGGTTCTGACACTGGTAGTCCTCAGATCAGACTGAGCGATACTTCCTGAAGATGACGTGCTCCTTCAGAAGATAGACTATGTCTACATAACACTCATCCTCAGTAGTGCATTGAACAAGGCAGGTGCTTGAAAGCTGTAAGAATATTGACTTCAGTGGATAGGTAATTTTAACAAATAAACAAATATTCTGGTAAAAGGTAGATGTGATTGGGACAAGCTGACTTAAGAAATAATATAATCTATATGAATAAGAAGATACTAAATTAGCTTTTCCAGCATTTTTTAGGTTAAAAGATGACCTCACTTTAGTCCTCAGACTGAATCTCCTGAGTGATGTCTTCCTCCTTATGTTCCTTCTTTGTTGCATTCCACTACCACCTGGAGAGGTGTTTATGGAATAAAGTCCCCAATATCTGGTGGGGGAGTGGAGGACATAAATCCAGGTTGAATTACAATCCATTTAAGAACATGTGGCCATAGTGTACAGTGATCAAACATAATGCTGTTGGAATAATTCTCCACTGATTAAAGAAAAGGTGCAAATTCTAGGGTTATCCTGGTGTCAATGGCTCTAGGGAAAAATGTGCTTTACATATTTGACTGAAAGAGGCTTAGCCTTTGAATATATCATTTCTTCAGTTCTGACATCAAAAGGATTATAATTCTATATTGAGAAAAATAATGGGATGTACATGTCACCTATATTCTGTGAGCTCATCTCCTATTCTTATTATTTGGGGTTCTCTGACACTGACCTTTCTCAACATCCCTTTCCTTCCTTCCTTCCTTCCTTCCTTCCTTCCTTCCTTCCTTCATTCCTTCCTTCCCTCCTTCCTTCTTTCCTTTCTTCCTTCCTTCCTTCCTTCCTCCCTCCCTTCTTCCCTTTCTCCCTTCTTCCCTCTCTCCCTTCCTCCCTCCTCCTTGTTCTCTCTCTCCATCTCTTTTGTCTTTCACAAGAAAATCTGCAAGTTGAAGAGCACTTGGAACATTTCAGACTTTCAAACTTGGCCAATGTTTCTAATATCATCTTATTTACTGGAACTTGGACTTTCAATGTTAGAAAATGTTGCTGCTCGTAATGTTTTAACTTTTAGCTACTGTGAATGTTGTGGTCCCTGTCATAACCTAGAATATTACCTAATGGTATAGATGCTAACATCCTACTCAAATGCTGCTTTGCATTCTGAGAATCCTCAAAGGCCTTAAGATCAAACATTCTTCCAGAAATACTTCTAATCTCAGAGTGAGATTATATGATAGGAAAACTGCAGCTAACAAGCCAAGTGACCTTAAAAAAGTCATGTAACTTTTGTTGGCTTGACTTTCCTTATGGGTAAAGGAAAGTGCTCACCAAGTTCACATCTGGTTTTGAAAATATTTTGTTGTAGAAGCAGACAAGAATCCTGCATATGAGCCTGGCTGCCCCACCATATTTTAATTTTTATAGCATTGAACTGATAGAAGATCAAAAACAAATCTGAATTGTATCCTGTAGGCATTTTTCTTCGGCTGGATCAGTTTACGGTAGTATACCAGGGGTACTTGAAGCCATTCTAATGTCAACTGTATCATAAAGTTTGTAGGGAAAACCCATTATTTTACTTTGAAAAAAATAGCACAGGCCTATCAAGGGACAGAATTTTTTTAATTGCATGAAAATTTAAACAAACGCTTAGTATTTCTAAGCAGTGACAAGTTCACAGCACATTACTGTGGGCTTTGTGGCCTTCTTGGGACTTACACATTTATTCTTGGTGTTTATTAGGGCGATGGAGAGAGGAAGGTGGAAGAGCTCTATGAAGGTGTCTGAGTACACATGGGAAGGAAGAGGGCCCTTAATATCACGTTGAAAATGTAGTTCACCAGGACTGAAGTAATGGCTAGTGTTCTCATCTTGTTTCAGAAGCTGCTGAAGCATTAGCATATGCATTCAGGGAGCCTGCATCTGCTCTTAGCCTTGACCTTCTGTGTAGTGCGGGTAGAGTCTAATTGTAACCTCTGTAACCTCTGTGTTGCAACGGGACACAATCTCTTGGTGCATTAAGCTGTGCTGCAGGTTGAAAGTGTCAAACACAGAAGACAGTTTTTGGGGAGGAATATTATGAGACAAAAGGGACACGAAAAATGGGGCAAAATGTGACTCCTGCCTCCTGCACAGGACTTGTGGCTGGAAATTGGAACACTGTCTCAGAATAGAGGAGAACAGGATTCTGTTTATGTTATGCCTCTCTCTCGGTCCTGTATCCTAACTTCAAGGGAATGAGTTCCAAAATCTTCTTAACAACAGGCGTCTCTCGGGCAATTGAATCTTATGCAGGCGCCTCTAATATGCCACAGATGAAAGCAGAGTTGCTCTGATGGAGGGAAGAGGTATGAGTGAGCAAGGCGGGGTGGGCACATCTCCTCCTCTCTGCACTGAGCATTCTCAGGGAAGAAGCCCTCTTACCTAAACTTGAAAATCCCTGTGTGGCGAGGACATTGATCATCACAGAAATAGATTTCTGGAGGGTCAGTTGATTGTGGCAGCAAGGAATGACTCTGGGATCACATACACTTGGATCTGAAAACTAACTCATTACTTGTAAATGATGCAACCTTTGGCAGATTATTTACCCAGCTAAGCTTCCGTATTTGACAGGAGAATTAAACTGGGTAATGGAGGTAACGCACTTAGTGAACTCCTTGGTTCTGGGTAAGTGCTTGAGAAATGTTACTCTTCTTAGGGTCGATAGACATTATTCTTGATATTATCTCAACAAGAAAACTCATCAAAATAAGATGCTTAGAGACCTATGTAGGGAAAGGTATGATCTGGGGGACGAATACTGTGATTTTCAGTAACGTTTGCCTTGGGGTTCTGTGAGGGATCAGAGCTCCAGGACCCATAACTGCCTTTCTAACTTAATGGGGAGATCAAGGTCTTTGCCTTCCCACCAACCCTCAGCCAGGAGATGCTCCAGCACATATGGAGAATATCTGAAGTGTTTGAGAACGTATTCAGGAGCCTCGCTAGTGACTCCAGGTGTTTTTATTGAAAGGTGATAAATGTTCTCTTCCGCTCCAAGGGTATTTCCATGTGACCAGGTGGTAAGATCTGGAGTCTACCCAAGACCAATGGTCCCCAGAAGAAAGGAAACAATGGGATTAGAGGCTCAGGCTTGACCCTTGGATCTTTCTTTGGTGATAAGAAGTCACCCCACACTTATAAGGAAGCACATAAAAGCAGTAGAATCAGGTGCAGGGAGAAGTGAAACAAGAAGGAAAACAAAAATAAGCAGCATTCACAATTATTTTCAATGGCCTAGTTCAGCTCATCATTAATGTTACCGTATGTTCATTTTGCTGTGCCAGAAAGATTTAAGAGCTGGGGCAGAAGACTGCTAGGTAGAGATTTAGAGATTCAAAAAAAAAAAAAAAAAGAAAAGAAAAAGAAAGAGATTTAGAGATTGAAGATTCACTCGGCACCCTTGACATAGAAGACACCTTCTTCTCTGATGCTCCATTGCCATCCCTACCCAAATTCAGTTGAGCAAGTGCCAGTCCTATAATAAGTACTTACCAAGAGTTCTTAAGGCAAAGCTGATGACCTGCTGTGGGTGTGACCTCATGCAACAACCCCAATAATAGGTCACATTGTGTGGCCTTTTTTTTTCCTATGTAGCACATTTTGTTTTCCAGCAAGAATCTTCCTTTTCCACTGAGTGAAGCCCACTGACCCAATATCTGAAGGCAGTCTAGGAAGAAGCCACACTCTTTAGACCACCCAAGGCCAATGTCACACTCAGCTGCCGAATGGTGGGAGGCATCAGGATTCCTATGACCAAGTCTGTGTTCCTCATGCTGGCTTGTGTTGTATGTTCATTTGTTGCTGTCCCTACTCTTCCAGCCCTTCCCTGTCCATCCCGCCCTTCTGACTAACTCTAAATAGAATCTGTGGTTCTGTTCCTGCCTGTGTTAGCTGGTGGTGTTTAATTAAGTCTCAAGTTTAATTTAAAACATGAAGCTGCCTGCTATCTAAGGATCTCTGAAGAGAACTGGGACCTGAAACCCACCTGAAATGAATCTGCAGACAGGTCAAGTTCATCGAAAGTCACCTCCTGCCTGACACTCCAGTCATTAATTCCAGTCGAGTTAATTGACATATCAGTGACAGTCAGTGGTATAACATTTTCTCGGACACAACCACCTTCTTGGAAAAGTAACCTGACTTGACTTTCTCCAGTGCCTCCCTGGCTCAGCAAAGGCTGAGCTGCTTAACTCTTTAGAAGCCATGCACTCTACCAATTCATCTAATGTTAAACTACTGCTGAAGTGGTATTATCTCGCTAAGAGCTTGATGAGGTATATGAGACCCCTACCATGGCTTAGAGAGGCAGAGCCCAGGGCAACACAATCCCTTCCATGCTGAATAGCATTGATGTCAGGAAGGGGATGCATATGCCCAGCCCTAATCCCTTAAACTTGCAAACTGTGCCTTGAGGCATTCCTGAAATTCAGGAATGATGCCTCTCCAAGTTCACTTTCAGAAGGCAGCAAGTTCATGAACTGCTCAGACTCTCTTGAATTTCAGCGTCTGAATATTGACATCCAGCCATTTTGCAGCTCTTCCCTTGAAAATCCTAGATAGGAGGAGTGTGTGAGGTAATGGTTATGTGGCTTTCCTTTGGAAGAATTCTTGCAAGTCATTCACAAATGGCTACATGCCGATCTTGTGAGTCTCAGTCAACTTGAAATTTCTCGAACACCTTGGGGTGTGCTCCCACATCACTGCCTCTGAATGCTGTGCTCTCTCCTCTCCTCCAGAGCTGGGCTCACCTCCCACCTTCTCAGCACCTCCTTCCCTGAGAAGGTGGCATTACCGAATCTTGCAACTCCTTCCCGAAATTCCACATTTCCTACCTCACACCTCCTTAGTCCTTGTAACTGGCATCCCTCTGTGTTATTTATTTATCATACATATGCCAATCTCTGCCACTCAGCAGGCCCCATGTGGATGAGGCTTCTGACATTCTCACACTGCTGATTCCCCAGCATCCAAACAGTGCCCTGCACAGAGTAGGTGTTCAGTGGGCATTTGTAGGGTGAATTAATTCCACTCAGGGGAACCCTAATGAATGGAAAAGATCTGCCAGGAGGCTAAAGAGATGCTGAACACTAAAGAACAACCATGTAGTCAACAGTCCGCCCCATGAGAGGAGCAACGTGGAGGGAGATTTGACTTAGCTCTGAACAAAACTCTCAACAGCAAAGGGCAGAGCTGCTTCCTTGAGGCCCTTTATGGCCTGAAACTCTTCCTGGATCCATTTATGGGCTATTTCCATATGACTGGTTGGGAGGATTTTAGAGAGAGGGGAAAGCAGTATCTACTGAGCTCTGACACCAAGGGGCCTGGTCTGCAGAGATGCCTTTGAAGCACTCACTCTTCCTGGCATCAGAGGTTCTGGCTCCAAGGGTCTCAAGTTTTTAATCTTGAAAATGTGAAAATGTTGCTTCCCATACCAAGAAGTTATCAGAAAAGATAAATTAATGCGTGGAAGCAAGCTTCTTTTTGAAAATCAAAGAGAATGTAGAACTGTGTTATCATCTACCCAGCCCTACTCTACCTGCTCACTTCTCTGCAGGGGGCTTGGTTTTGGGGGTTTCGTTGCTTAGCTGTTCTTACCGTGGCCAGGAGAGAATCCAAGAAGCTGCCGGAAAAAACAGCGCCTGTAGAAAAGGCAGTGCTGAGATGCAGGTTTGTTTCTTGGAGAGACCTTTCCAGTCCACCAAGCTGTTCAATAAAGTGAATGTTGGAAGGATTTTCTGCAAGGCAAGTGGCAAAAAGGAAAGACAAGCAGAACAGGTTAAGAACATAAGAACTGCAATCCATGCAGGCCAAGGGGTGACCACTTGATCAAAAGATCTAATGTCTACTTTTGGGTCTCTGTGGGATCTACCACTGTTTCAGTACATTTTTTTTCTTTCTATTTGTCTTCCTTCCCTCAAAAGACACATAGATCTGTTGGGTACCTTCACCATCAAGGGGACATTCCTGGTGCACAGGCTTAGTTTCTCAAGAAGTGTTCTTATTGCCATCCTTGTATAATTTATCCTTCAAACCAGGATATTTTGGGGAGCAAAAGAGAGCATGCTCAAAAATTGCCCTGGAATCATAGAAATAAATAGGAACATGCCCAGTTAAAATCTTTTATTTCTCAAAATACTATGCAATGGATGACTTGGCATTTACTTGGCTTCCTAGAGTCACATAAGCCCAGTGCCTCTCAAAATTTAATGTGCGTAGGAATCACTTGGCGACCGGGTTGCAATGCAGATTCTGATTCACTGGGTCTAGGGTGTGGGCTGAGAGTCTACATGCCTAGCCAGCTCCCAGATGCTGCTGAGGTTGCTGATTCATGAATCGCACTCCATGTGGTAAGGGCTTAGGGAATCATCCTAACTGAGGCCAGTATAGCAGTAGCCAAATTATCCATCAGCATGTCTATACTGGCACAGGCTCCATCAGCATGTCTATTCTGCCCCCAGACCCCTGTAGGCAGCCTCTGAGGTGAATATAGCTGGTCTTTGCGGAGCATGAGAGGAGAGGCATTGCTCTCCTCTAGGAGACAATGCTGCCTTTGTTCCTAGACTTTTTTTTCTTTTTTTGAGACAGTCTCATTCCATGGTCCAGGCTGGAATGCAGTGGTGCAATCAGTGCAACCTCTGCCTTCCAGGTTCAAGCAATTCTCATGCCTCAGCCTCCCAACTAGCTGGAATTACAGGTGTGTACCACCATGTCTGGCTAATTTTTGTATCGTAAATAGAGACTGGGCTTCACCACGTTGGACAGGCTGGTTTCCAACTCTTGACTTCAAATGATCCACCTGCCTCAGCCTTCCAAAGTTTGTCTCAAGAACAGCATTGGAAGATAGAGATGTTGTCTCCCATGGGAGCAAAGGGAAGGCATGCTTACTGCGTGTTATAAAAGACTCTGGTCTCCTGAGCTTGGGTTCCTAACCTAAAGAGCAATCTACTGTGGGTACAGGTGTCACTTGGGCCTCTTCATGCCACCTTGTGGAAAGCAGGGCTTGGGCAACCAACACAAAAGTGAGAATACTCTGGCTGCTGTTACTCTGAGTAGTAAACTGATTGGTTTTGTTTTGTTTTGTTTTGTTTTGGTCTCTGATCCAGGAGTCTTATAGCTTCTGCCAACATCCATGAGACTGGGGCAGGTGAACTTGTTGCTTTGCAAGTAGGATAGTCTTAGACTCTCCACAGTTCTTGATACTACAATTATTTAAATGACCAATCCAAACAAATCTGCTGGACATGCAACTCAGAATCCATTGCTTGCTATGACTGGATGATGCCCTAGGGCCTTAAATTATTCCTCAGTAAGTTTGGGGGAAGTGACACTAATGAAGGAAGTGATATTAATTAATCATTTTATTCCAAGAACAGCATTATTTTTATAAAAGATGAGCAAGGATGACTAATGTCAACCCACATCTCCTGTGCACGTCTACATTCCTCTCCTTGCATTGTGAACCTTACACACACACACACACACACACACACACAGAGACACACACACTCACACACACACAAACATCCCATGAGCCTTTGTCCAAATCCTGCTGTATCACCCTAAAGTAATGGCCTCAGCTTTCCTGGCTATTTCTCTGCAGACCCCCATGCATTCTGTACCAAAGGGGTACAGAACATCAGACCTGCAATTCCCATGTCAACATGACCCTTTCCAGACAGCCAGACAACAAGAACCTGTGTGAGCTGGCAGCTGGCGTGTTAGGCTAACTTGACAAGCACCACCTGGCGCCAGAAACAAAATCTCTAAGTCCCTGGGGAGTGACCAGATGCACCTCTGGGTCAGTGAGAAACTGGATGATTTCTTCCCAAGCACTCTAACTTATAGTCTTCTTTGAATTAATGCATTTGGCATACACATTTTATCCGCCACTTCCACAGGTTTGCATTCAAGGATTCAACTAACCACAGATGAAACCCGTGGATACAGAGGGTTGATGATGCTATGCCATTTTACATAAAGGACGTGAACATCATGGATTTTGGTGTCTTCAGGAAGTAGGGCCAGGGGAGGAGTGGGGAGTGAGTGAGTTATGGAACCATTGCCTCACAGATACAGACAGCCAACCGTATACAGCTCAGGAGTTAAAGACAGTTCAAAGTGGAGGAGAAAAATAAAATGTAATTAAAAACTGCTTCAAGATGGTTAGAAGTAGGCAGGCAGGTACTAGGATCCAGGGGTCTGGGATGTTCAAAGCTGAATTTCAAGAGCCTCTGCTCCAGAAAATGGCCAGGAAAGCTAGGTAACAATGAGGCAGTGCCTCACTTCTCACCTGCTACACTGTCACTCCCAGCTCATGTGGCGGTGACACCTGCTGATTCCTCTCTAAGTTTCCCTGCTTTGTTTGTAGGATAAGAGGTCTAGATGTTCATCTAATTTTGGATAAATCCCAGTAGTTTAGGTAATCAAGCTCATAAAATGCCCATTATGCATTTTTCTGTTTAGTAAAATCGGGTCAAATCACAGTCAGGACCAGTTTTTAGAGATCATCTCTGCATTGGTTCAATCTGTGCTAATACCATTCGCCTCTTCTCTGGGATTTTCTCCTTTTCTCTTCAACTACACTCAGTAGTAAATCCCAATGTGTCCCCTGGTGCCCCAGCAATGCACCCCACCAAATGCACTTGGGCACTCTTCCCTCCCTTGTCTTCTGTTCCCAGAGCTCCCCTTGCCTAGGGAAGTTTCTTGCTTTGTTTGGTGTTGATGAGAGATAAAAGCATATTCTGTTAATTCTTTGAGAGGTTTTTTGTCTGTTTTAAGGAAGTATCACTAAGGGCTGGGATTAATGTGATATGGGGAAAATATATGGGACGCAAAATTTGGGGACACCAAGGGTGAGCACTTCGTCTAAGTCTGTACCCCTCATGCCTCTCTTGCCTTATCCTGGCCCCAGCCCTGGTGTCACTGCTGGAAAGGAAGGCATTATAAAGGATTGTGAGATTCTACCAGGAGGAAGAAAGCATTGTTCACAATGAGCACTAAAATAAGACTTGCTGGTAGGCAGTTTTCTATCTCTTTCACTAGGGGATAGAGTGGTTCTCACCAGTGGCAATTTGTCCCCTGAGGTCACCTTACAATGGCTGGAAACAGTTTTAGTTGTCACCACTGTGGGGATGCTATCCCCATCTAGTGGGTAGAAGTCAAAGATGCTGCTAAACATCTTTCAATACACAGGATGGCCTCACAAAATTAGAAAATGTCAACAGCAGCAAGGTGGAGAAACTCTGCCCTAACCTATTTGGTGAGCCCTTTGAGGGATCAGTGGGCTTTCCCACATCTTCATAGTCAGGACCAAAAGTCCTATGATGGGGTTGACCAGTCAGTCCAGGGAGGTTCTTTCTAGTGGTTTTCCAATCTGTGGTCCCTCCCTCTGAATGAGACTATGCCAGTTGCTGTTTCCCCCCTCCCCCCGGTAACTGGAAGAGCAGGGAAGGCAGATGTCATTTCTGCACTCTGACATCAGATATGCTGATGTTCCCAGTTGGATCAAAGCCCAGTGTAACATCCAGGCAAGCACTTAAAGCTCTGAGCCTCATTCTGGTTCTTGAGTCCTTTGACTGTGAATTCCAAAAAGAACCTTGGAACATCAGTTATATATCACAAAAATTTCTCCATTGAATTTTGCCCTTGAAACACAACTTACTTAATTCAGTGAGGATAGGGACTCTTTGGCAGTTTGATTTCTCATTAGATCTTGTGTAACCTGGAGTATTCTCTGCAAAGAAGAAAGGAGGCGATAAATACAAACACAATGGCTTACAAAACTTGTCAAAATGTAGAAGGATATCATGTAACTTGGTACTTTATCTTAGCAAAGTTACTCTCATGTGCAAATCTCAAATCCTTTACTATGTTTAGACAAAAATTATTATTTGGATCTCCTCAGCATCTCCTTTTGATAAATGTGTAAAGGGGAGTGTGTGTGTGTGTGTGTGTGTGTGTGTGTGTGTGTGTGTGTGTTCTTTCTTTTTTTCTCTCTTTTTCTTTTTTTGAGACAGGGTCTTGTTCCATCTTCAAGACTGGAGTACAGCGGTGCCATCAGAGCTCACTGCAGCCTTCACTCCTGAGCTCAAGCTATCCCCTTGCCTCTGCCTCCTGATTAGCTAGAACTTCCAGCACATGCCACCATACTCAGTTAATTTATTTTTATTTTTGCAGAGATAGGGTCTTACGATGTTGCCCAGGCTGGTCTCAAATTCCCAGCCTCAAGTAATCCTCCTGTCTTGGCTTCCTGGAGTGCTAGGATTATAGACGTAAGCCATCATGACTGGCTATGTCTGTTCTTTCTAAATGGCACTTCAAATGACTTACAAAAAGGCAAAGTTCTCCCAGTAGCTGCTTATTGATGCCACAATTAAGATATGCATACTCTTCACTGAGTGGCTGTGCTAGGTAACAACCCAGTCAGGCAGTGGCTCAAACCACACCAATTTGCCTGTAGCATTTTTAGGAAACTGCAAGTAGATGGGTGGTACTGCCCCCTGAGTGCTTTAGGGCACGCTGCGAGTGGCTGCTGCCTCCGGTACTCTCTGCCTCTTTGAGCTTCTCACTGGATGGAGGCACTGTGGATGTCTGCAGAACTGGCTGCCTAACTGCCTACATATGGAAGGCTGTGGGATTTCTTAAAGACTGGGCTGGGGTGTCATTCAGGGCCCTTGACGTCTGTGCTGAGGTTATAGACACGTTTCCCTCCTGTCTTCGGAGATAAGACACTGCAGTGACCTCTGTGAGCCGTGACTCCAAAACAGGGGATGCGTGGCACTGGCCTGAAACAGCTTTATCACGTGCTGAACTATGGTGAATTTCAAAAGAAGCATGACCTCAGAGGTTTAGTCTCCAGCTTAAACTAAAAGCGTAAGGGAAAATAAACAGAATAGAAGGTTGGGTGCAGTGGCTCACACCTATAATCCCAACACTTTGGGAGGCTCATATGTGAGGATCGCTTGAGCCTAGGAGTTCAAGACAATCCTGGGTGATATAGACCCGTTCTCTACAAAATTTTTTTAAAAAATTGCTGAGTGTAGTGGTGCACAGCTGAAATCCCAGCTACCTAGGAGGCTGAGGTGAGAGGGGCACTTGAGCCCAGGAGTTCAGAACTTACAGTGCACTCCAACCTGGGCGACAGACAGAGACCCTATCTCAAAAAAAGGAAGTTCGTGGGGGAGAGAAATAGAAAAATGTGGTGCCATTTAAAAAAAAAAAAGTGCCATAATGGCATTATAAGTTGTGCTTACAACTGTTGGTTGCTTTCTTAAAGTTTCCTTAGGATATTATATAAGAGGAAAAAATATTGTAAACCATCAAGATGTACTTGTAATTAAGATTCCCTGCTGCTTAAAAGAGAGTGAAATCTTTGGAAGGTCCTTAGTTTCCTGAGTGAGGTAATTGGTAGGGGTGAGAAGGGGAATGATCTGTGCTAAGGCCCCCTGAGAAGCAGACAGACAGGGAATGGAGCCACTGAGGTGGAGACCCGGAAAAGGGGAAATCCAAAGAGAGGTGGGTTTCCAGAAGGAATGCTATGTGCTACGATATTTCACACCTTTTCCATCTCGCCACTGAGATGGAAAAGAGCCACTTCCTGTTAATGCAGACTACAGCTGAATATATTTCTGGTTTCTAGTAAATTTCTGAGTAATGAATGCAGGATAAAAACGGAAGAGCCCAACACATTTGGTTTATGTCTAGAACCGTCAGTGACCTTACGAATTTCACAAAATCCTTCAGTTTTTGGTGAGGAAGGCCAGAGGGCTAATTGGATTTGCACAGCTATTAAAGAGGAAGGTTTATAAGGATGACTAGAGATCTTGATTCACTGATAGTTCTTATTCTTGATGAAATCTAAATACCTTAAATTATTTTTCTTAAAAAAATCTCTGAGATTTGCATAATGCAGGAAGACTTGAGGGAATTAAAGTTCTATTTTATTCTCAGATTGAGATGCCTTATTTGTTTCATCTGCCCTCTTTCCCTCATTTTCTTCTCCCTTCTCTTCCTTTCCCTCCTTTCCTTCCTCTTTTTTCTTTCTAATTTCTTTCCTTTTCTTCTTGTCTTCCTTCCTTTCTCCCCTTCCTCATTCCCTCCTTCCCCCTACCCTTCCTTCCTTCCTTCCTTCCTTCCTTCTTTCCTTCCTCCCTTCCCTTCCCTCCCTCCTTCCTTCCCTCCCTCCTTCCCTCCTTCCCTCCCTCCCTTCCTCTCCTCCTGTCCTTTCTTCTTTCTTCCTTTTCTTCCTTCCTTTCTTCCTTTCTTCTTTTCTCTTTTTTCTGTTTTCTTTCCTTCTTTCCTTTTCTTCCTTCCCTTTTCCTCCCTCCCTCCCTTTCTTCCTTCCATAAATATTTTTAAAGTATCTACTCCATGCTAGAACTATGTTCATTCTTGCCCCAGTTACATATCACATGTTGCAAATACAAAATAGTTTTGGATATTGATGAGAATGAAAAAAACCCCAAACTTTAGAGGCTAGTGATTGAAGTTGGAGATGCGACTTTAGATAAGGTCCCAAGAGGGGCATCTCTGACCTTAGGACAGAGTCTGAGAAACAAGGAAAAGCCATCTGGCAGAGGGGTATGATAAAGAACCCATGGCAGGAAATAGCCAGTGTGAACAGGGTGAAGGAGCAGAGAATCCAAGCTTCCTGCTGGCTTGCAAGATCCTAGTTTTCCCTTTAATTGCCATGGGTCAACATCATAGGGTTTAAAGTAAGGAAATGAGATTATCTGATGAATATATATAAAAGATCTCTGGCTGCTAAGAGCAGTGGGCACTGTAAAGAGATAAGATAACTCCTACATGTACAGGTACCCTGTGAGTTAATCATAGTGAGATCATCTTTGACGACGAGAAAACTCAGCCAGGATTTCCATACCATGCCCAAGGTCACATGGCTTGTAAATCATGGATGAGTCTTCACAGCCTGATCAGCACCAACTTCAAAACCCATTCCCTTTTCAGGGTACCTACTTTGTAGCCCTATTAAAATATACATGGTTTGACTGGAATTTTCAGTAAAATATTGAAATCAGTTTCCTGCAAAGGAGAAAGCTCTCTATGGGGAAATCCTTTTTTGAACCCCACTTTCTGATTCCAGTTATCTGCTAATAAAGGTCTTGAGACTGACTTTTAGAGTCTGGTGTTCTAATTGGGTATAGACACATTCACATCAGCTGAAGCAACTATATGAAAATCTGCTTCTGAAGCTGGCTGAAGGAGAGCAACTGAATTTCCACATTAACTCCATCCCTTTTAGAGCAATGGTTAATTTGAATGTGTCAGATCATAGCCTGGGTACATTTTACTGATGTCAATATTTTTGCTACCTAATAGTACATAGTATTATACCTGAAATCTTCCAGCCTGGCAGGGTGCTATTACAAAAGATTGCTTAATTGTAGATTACTTCTGTACATTTAAATTTCAGTAGCATATTAAGTTGTCAGGCTTAATTACCGTTATATGTTTAGATTATGCACAGATTATTTAGTTCAGTACCTAGGTTTGCCAACCTGTTCTCCTTGTGATGTGACAGGGCAGTAATTAGAGTATTACAGAAAAAACTAAAATTTCCCATGGAGCTGTCCAGGAGGGCTGGCATTCTCGCTGATCCTTCAGAGAGTACTCAGTCTGCTGCTCCCCCCACCCCCGCCCCATCCAATGTCGCTTGGTGAATTTCTGCTGGGAATAGCCTTGGTGGTCTTAGCTTGGCTTCACATTTATGTTTATCTTGACTAGGAACATGTGGAAAAACCCACTGATCCCTCAAAGGGCTCACCAAATAGGTTAGGGCAGAGTTTCTCCACCTTGCTGCTGTTGACATTTTCTAATTTTGTGAGGCCATCCTGTGTATTGAAAGATGTTTAGCAGCATCTTTGACTTCTACCCACTAGATGGGGATAGTATCCCCACAGTGGTGACAACTAAAACTGTTTCCAGCCATTGCAAGGTGACCTTAGGGGACCAAATGCCACTGGTTGAGAACCACTCTATCCCCTAGTGAAAGAGATAGAAAACTGCATACCAACAAATCTTATTTTAGTGCTCATTGTGGACCATGCTTTCTTCCTCCTGGTAGAATCTCATAATCTTTCATAATTTCAGCTCTTGGAGGTGGGTATTCCTGGTTCTACCTCTTATGTATGGTGCAAGAGGAGTATTATTAAGAAATGGGGGCCAGGTGCGGTGGCTCAAGCCTGTATTCCCAGCACTTTGGGAGGCCGAGGCGGGTGGATCACGAGGTCAAGAGATCGAGACTATCCTGGTCAACATGGTGAAACCCCGCCTCTACTAAAAATACAAAAAATTAGCTGGGCATGGTGGTGCGTGCCTGTAATCCCAGCTACTCAGGAGGTTGAGGCAGGAGAATTGCCTGAACCCAGGAGGCGGAGGTTG